TTTTTCCAAACTAGAAAGGGGGGGGCAGAGTTTTGGTTTGGTATTTAATTTTTTTTGTTATGTGTAACAGCTCTTTTGTAAGTTAAAAATTAATTTTGTTGCCACGTGTTCCCGCTCGCCGAATTTTTTTTTTTTTTTTTTTTGCCCACGCCGATTTTTATCTCCTTTTTCCCCTAATGCGGAGCCTGGTTTCAGACTAGTTGCAGCGAAGTGTATCGAAACCGGGGGAAAAATATTTGTGTGAATAGTTTGACCTAATTCAGACTTGATCTAACCGTAGAATACGCAAGCATAAGTAAATTTGAACACGTTATTTCTGTCCTGTGTAAATTGTTGTGCATGTGCTCTCTGAGACACTAGGTTCGCAGTTCAGCACCTTAAACAAGTTTACGAGTAAAGTGAAAGCTTTGTTGCAAAACGAGTTGCAGGTTTTTATTACCCCTTTTTTCCCCCTAAGTCATACTTAAAATAAATCAATAAAATCGAGTATACTTCGCAAAAGAAAATTCTGAAACTTTTCTTTTTCCATCTTATTTCATTATTAACAGTGAAGGAGGACATTGTTTCTATGAACAAAATGTGGTTTCCGATTAAAGTGAAACGGTGATAGCTTGTACCCAATGAAATTTTGTTGGACAAGATCAAAGGGAATTTTTTCGGTCACCGGAGCTGACCTCTTAACCCCTGCAAAACGGATTTGCAAATCATTGTTGTTGCGAAATGTTTTCAGTTACCAAATGCTCTTCAGTTTTCTTTTAATCATTGGCTGTCTAGTCTCAAAGTAACTGATTGTGGTTTTTTTAAAATCAGTGTTCAAACAAGGACCTCATAGCAGTTTCGCGGCAGTTTGCACGCTCCATAGTGTCACCTTATAGTGCCTAGTTCGAGGCTAGTTGTGTTGAGACTGTTTATTACATTTCTTATTACGGTACGACGATAGTTTATTCATAACAACGCCCAAGTTAGTGCTTATGCAGTTTCATAATGTTTATAATTCTATATTACAGTGCCGCGTGCCACAGCGATTTCAATTTCGCAGTTTCACATTTTGTTTTCGGTAAAATACCATGAATGTTTTTTCCGGAAAAAAATAACCTCAACGTGTCATGCCTTTTTTATTTGTTTTCCCATCTCTTTTCCTTTCCTTTTTTTGAGCGAGAAATTTTACTCTGGGTAGGCCGTCACCACCAAACTAACCTGAGATCAGGCCCAACTTGAGCGGTTCTCATACATTCTCTCTAACGGCTACCGCTGAAATTGGGCCTGATACAAACTATTACAAGTTTGCGCTCGTTACGGCCATATTTTGGCCGTAACGCTGATTGGCTGTTAGAACAAACATTCTCATGAAAAAACATCATCCAATTACATCGCAACTATTCGATCACATGACTTTCCAAAGACTATTTATTTACAGCCAATCGATGTTCCTTCCATACCATCATATCAAGGTGTGGTTGAGAGAAAAAAGCGAACTGGAAGGAATCCCTGAGGTCACCCTTCGTAAAGAATCCAGGTAAGCTAAATAATAAATAATCGACTTTGCTTAGCTACTGTTGGTCCTAATTGTACATCAAATGATTTCGTATCTCTATCACATTATGTGCCTACAAGCATGGCCAAACACTGAAGTGTAATTTGCGCAAATTTTTCCCGTTTCATCACATATTATTCTCTTCCACGAGAAGATCAATAAAGGACTAGGAATAATTAGAGTGACCCATTTGCAGTCATTTTCCAGGTAACGTGGAAATAACAGCCTTTCGTCGTAACTTAGACTAGGCTGCGTTTTCTGGGAGAATCCAAAAATAGATTTAATTTTGTAATCTCAGATCATGTGGATTCTTCACTACCTAAAAAACGGAAGATCCGAAAAAGGATCATTTACCATGACAACGGCATGTCCTCGTGTTCCAAGTGATGAGAAAAACAGAGGAAAAACTGAAGAGAACAAACTGATCCTCGCGGCGGAAAAGCAATGAAACTACGTATGAACATAAGTACAATATGTGTATATTTCCACAGAGTCCAGAGAAGATGTGTTTGTTAGAAAATCAAAACCCGTCGAAAACCTCTGAAAAAATGGGTTATTTTGATCGCGTTACAGTTTCGTTACACACTCTATAGACCGCAAACCAAGAGACTGAGGGCTCGCAAGATCGGCTTACACTTGGTGTCTCGGTCGCCCTTCGGGCGACGTGCCGTGCGCCAGCGAGGATATGGCTTGCGGTTATTCATTTTCAAAAAGTCGATCTGGGTCAGATAAGAAGCGAAGAAATCGTTTGTAAACACTAGATTCATAAAGATCCCATTGGGCTAATTAATCGTGCTAAGCGACAGGTATAGACATTTTTCATTTATTCTCGCAAAACTCCTCTGGACCCTGTGATATTTCGGCTTGAAACACAAAAGTTTCTCAAATAGAACATGCCAAGTAAGGGTTTAAAAACAGTCTACAAATGTAAATAGATCACAAAGATGGAGTGATGTTTAACTAATTATGGCTCAAAGTTAAGGCACCACCAACATGTCATACATGTACGGCATATGTTGTGTACCATTTTTATTCGGAAAACCGTTGGTCAAAAATACTTTTTTCAAATCCTTTCCCCCAAAAACGTTCAAACTGTGAATCTCAAAAATCGGGATTTGTATTTGATCCGAGGAATCCACCCAAAGCGTGGACTTTCTGGATTTATGATCCGTGCTTGGTTTCCCCGCCCCCCCCCCCC